CTGAATTTTATTGACTCTACTCGAACGACTCGACCGGTTGTATCATTTGAGCCTATCGGGGATCATCCCGTCTCTAGTGACCTGCATCTGCTGCATGGAACGCTTCCTGGAGAAGTTGTCTGCACGGAGAACCTGACACCCTTTCTAAAATTACTTCCTTGCAAGGGCAAGGCTGGCGTTTCTAGTCTTCTGGATGGGCACAAGCTATTTGATGCGTCCTGGCAGAGCATGTCTGTTGACGTGCGTCCTGTTTGCCCTCAAGGCGGGGAGTGTCTCATGCAAATCGAGCAAACAGTAGACATTGTGTTAGACATTGAGCGCTCCAAACGGCCTCGAGGTGAGTTGTCAAACTACTTTTCTTTTTTTGACGTACAGTAGCTTCTAACCCTCCTAGACAACCCGATTCCACGTCCTGTTTCTAATGATCAGCTGAACTGTGACAATTCAAAGCCTTATCACTCAGAAGATACCTGTTATCCTCTGGAAAGAGGCTCGGGCAAAGGCTGGAGCTTGAATGAGATCTTTGGCCGTACCTTAAGTGGCGTCTGTTCTCTTGAAGAAGGTCAACGCCCTGGTAAAGAAGCGATCTGTTTGCGGGTGCCGCATGAGCAAGGGGTATACACCACATCGGGAGTGGAAGAGACAAAAAAACCCGACGGATACACCCGTTGTTTCACCTTGCAATCGTCCGGCACATTTGACTTGGTGATTCCCGAGCAATCTCACACGAACTTGGCTCCTCTGAATGAACCGGTTTTGAGTGCGGAACGCACGATTGTTGGCCATGGCCAAGAACGAGGCGGCATGCGTATCATTTTTGACAACCCATCGGATACAGATTTGGTCGACTTCATTTACTTTGAGACTCTTCCCTGGTTCTTGCGGCCCTATGTCCACACTTTACGCGCGACGATCACAGGGCGCGACGGAACCTCTAGGTCGGTTCCAGTCTCGCACATTGTGAAAGAGACATTTTACAGACCGGCCATCGATAGAGAAAGAGGCACGCAGTTGGAACTTACACTCTCTGTGCCTGCTGCTTCCATCGTCACTCTCACCTATGATTTTGAGAAGGCAATCCTGCGCTACACTGAGTATCCGCCGGACGCCAACCGTGGCTTCAACGTCGCTCCTGCGGTGATCAAATTATCTCGCGCGAACGGCAACGTCATTGCTCACGATACTCCCGTCTACATGCGCACAACCAGCCTTCTCCTCCCGCTACCGACTCCCGACTTCAGCATGCCGTACAACGTGATCATCTTGACTAGTACTGTGATTGCACTCGCGTTCGGAAGCGTCTTCAATCTCCTGGTCCGCCGTTTTGTTGCAGCTGATCAGGCTGCCGCGCTTACCTCGCAAACCTTGAAAGGCAGGCTGCTAGGGAAGATTGTAGCTCTACGCGATCGTATCGGCGGAAAGAGGTCGAAGGTAGAATAGTGTACAATATAGTATACTTGGATTTTAGTACCCTCATTGATCCTTTCCAATTCATGCAAATAATGTTTATTCATGACAAAAAGAAGCACATAATCCATGCGCAGAACTCCTTCAACTCCCAACTTGAATCCAGCATACTATCTACCCTGGCCATGCAACCTAAAAGCTCAAACGTCAGTACCCACATCTTCCCTTCAACAAACAACGCTGCTGAAATCCTGGTAAGACTCACATATCCATCACCCCCTTCGTCTTCGACCACCCAGGCAGCGTCTCAGGACATCCAGGCCGATGCTCCATGAAACTGTGATCCTCAGTATCGCACGATATACCTTTACCAGTCATTTCGGACGCCCCCTGAGCCCGCTGCTCAAAGTTCGAGCTCGCAGCACCCTTCTGCGAACTCAGACCTAGGAACTGGCCCATTGATGACTTGGGGTTCGGAGCCTACCCCGTAAACCATCAGTTCAATGCTCCGCGCTCGAGAGATACGCATCGAAACAACTTACGGCGACATGTCCCGGTCCCTCTGAGCCTGTGCCCCCCTTGAAGAACCCCTTGTCGCCCCATCCGGAACCACCGCCTGCGTTGTTGGCGGGTGTCGGTTTGGCGCTGGCACCACCCTGAGTAGAGGTTCTTTCGTGGTTGACAGCGTTGTCGGTTGTTCTGTCGGTGGAAGAGCTTGCCATTGTTTTAATTTCTTTGCTTGTGTCTTTTTCTGGTGTCAGTATGGTGTATTGCTAATACAGTATGGAATGATATCTATTGTTTAGATGGTCCGTTGTATAGTCAGTGGCGAACGTACCTGGAATTTCGAATGTTTCAACAATGTTGAATATTGCAAATAGTATCTTGACTACAACGTCTTTATATAAGAAGTCAACCTGTATACCCATCGACCATCTAGCTGTCGATCGGGTCCTGTTCTAGTTGCATAGTAACTATGATTTCATAGTGAGCGCATCCCGCCTTGGTCATTGGCTGGTACACGCCACCTTCGCTGAATCATCACAACAACTAACCCGCTACATGGACTTGGAAGACCAAGGAGGTAAATAGTGAGACCTTGACTATGAGATAGTACGTGTCAGACAGTGTGCATAGGCACCAGGGACCGCCGATTTTGTAACATCTAGTGCGTTATGTACATACAACTTTCATTCCGATTCAGTGGTATAGGACAGTCATTACTCGAGTCAATAGGGAAGAAAACATCAGAAAACCTCTCCGGAGGTCTATCCATCATAGAGACATGAGAAACAGTTAGGAGGGGAAGCATACATGCGCGGACAGAAGTTCATAGGAGGCATTAGTAGAGTAGATTAATCCCGCTGCGACTCGACTTGCTCTGCCCACGTGGCACCAGACACTGGAGACAGTGTCTCCAGCTTGTCTGCAAGATCGGAGACCGTCTTGTCCGTTGATTTATCACCGCCAGGAAGGGCTGGAAAATCTTGTTCATTGTTCAGGACCGGAGCGGCTGGGGAGGCTGCTGGAGCAGCTCCATCTGACGCTCCATCAAAAGGCGCAACGCGAGAAGCTCCTCGTCCGCGCCCACCTCTTCCACCACGTCCTCGACCGCGGTGGTTGTGGTGATGGCGTCCCTCTAGGTTCTCCTCTTCCGTGCGGGCGTCATCAAAATCTCTCCGGGCGTAACCAGAGACTCCTCCGTGCATGCCTCGCCGGAATTGGCCTCTACCACCACGGGGATTATAGTCTTCTTCGCGCTTGGTAGCATCCCATTCCCTTCCGCCCAAAGCTTCGAGCTTTCTTAAGCGATTGCGCTCGCGTTCGGAATCCATCGCGCGGCGATTCTGGCGTTCCTGGCGGCGCTTCTCTTCTGCAACCTTCTCGCGTTCGAGAAACGACGCCTGATCGGCCTCGGCGCGGGCATATGCAGCAGCTTTTTTAGCGGCGTTCTCCTTGGCGGCAGCGATGCGTCGGGTAAGCTCTTCCTCCGTGAGCTTGGGCTGGTGCGACAATTAGTACGTGTCTCTTTCAAAGCTACATAGGCTCGTGCCGTACCTTCTTCACTCCACCCGTTGCGCTCCTATCACCGCGAACGGCTGGAACTCGTGGAGCTTCGGTTCCATTCGCCGTACCGGCGGGCTTAGCATCCGACTTGGCTTCATCCTCTTTTGTGGATTGCTCTGATCCTTCTGCCGGCGTATCGCGGGCTGCATCCTCCACTTTGTTGTCCTCTTGTTCGGCAGTATTGTCAGTAGACCTGCCCCGCGGTCCTCCCTCTGCACGACCGCGACCTGGATGGTGTGACCCGCGCCCTACGCGCCCTTTTCCTCTCCCTCGCCCTCCTCGTCTGTCCACTCCCCGTGAGCGCGGCGGGGTATCTATCCGTGGTGGCTCCTGGCTCTCGGTGTCTGCAACATTCTCCTCCGGCGTCTGGGCCTCAGCTTGTACTTGTTCGTCTGCGGAGACAGGGATGATTTCATCATCGAACAGATCATCCCCGCCTCGAGTTTGCGCGAACTCGTCTATGACAGGCGCGTCGGCGATAGGATCGGCCATTTTTTTGAACTTCGCTAGTAGAACGTTCGTATTTGCGAATTCTCGACGTAAAGCTGGCGCGATCACGCACTTCTTCGCGATGGATTAATTCGATCAGGACGCTTGAGCAATTGCGGGGTTGGGGTAGCTTTGCAAAATCAAGGATCAGCCCTAGCTAGCGGAATGTAAGCTTTGGACCAATTTGTAAAGCGTCAGAAACAGCGGTTGCTAGAAAGTCAGTCAGTCAGCAAGAGGCATATATGCGACAAAGGTGGTATCAGTTCCACCCCCCGAAGCACTTCATCATCGAGCGCCTTCCGTAATTGACTCTCTTGACTGCGACTACCTCAAGCAGGGGCAAATTGCCAAGGCGGTCGGTCTGTATGTGGAGCTCTGTCGTTGCGGAGATCAAGGGAGGTATTTCACATCGCATAGTTCACATGTTCAGAAGAAAGCGTATCACCTACTATTTCCTAGTCTTGTATGCGTATCCCTAATTTTGGTCGGATGCACAGTATATCGCGGAGTGCAAGATGGAGTATGGGAGTGCTGGAAGCATTGCTTCATTTATCAATCGAGTCCTAGGATGTATACATTTCTGCCCCTCATTACCGCCACCTACTGCCGCTTCAATGGCCATTATATTTATGAATTGTGCCCCGTGCTCTGAGACATTCTACATTGCAATGAATTTGATTATGACAAAAAAAGAGCCCGTTCAATCTAAGACTTTAATCATGGTGTACGGTCTTATGCCATGCTCTGCTGTGGACCTTGATCATCTACGCTTAACATGTATCTCACATTCACAAGTAAGAAGGCCATTAGCACGATTCCCTGTGAAAGAAGTTATGGCAAGGACGCTGCCTTGACTGACATGGCTGAAATGATACTCCAATTTTCTGGTGGCTTAGCATCCTATGGCAGCCAGATTAGCCAGCCAGCCGAATAGTGTACTGAACACTAGAGGCACTTGTACTCAGTTGTTGGACTTATTTGCATTCTATAAGCAGGATGTACAACTCCAAGTCTCGTACAATACCCCACACCGTCAACTAAACACATTCCCATGCGTTCTCGTCTGAATAATTCCCTGGTCCCTTGTATACATTTCTGCGAGGATATCTGCAGTGCTTGCGGGTATATTCGACAGACGAACCGACCCCGTTCGAAAACTTGGCACCACGGATGAACTCCGGAGCAATCCCCTTCTCGACCCACTGAACCATTGCCATAAGGACGTTGTTCTCTGGCTCAGCACCGTTGTATGTCGCCAGCCCGTTGCCAATGCCATAGGCGCCGTCACCTCCGCGGCAGTGCGCCATTCCGCTAACGGGGAAGAAGCGGTAGAAGTCATCCAGTTCTTCAGGGGCAAGGCCCATTTCCTCTGCGACGCGCGCATAGTATAGCTTCGAGTTATCCGAGCTGATCAGCTGGTCCTGCATACCGTGGTATGTCAGGACCTTTCCACCCGCCTTCTGGAAGGAAGAGATATCCGCGTCCCAGGTCTGGATGTTGTAGGGATTCTGCGCCAGAGCAACCGCGGCATCCTGCACCGTCCACTTGGTGGCGTCCCAATTGGGGTTGTTGTAGACGACATAGCGGTACCAGTCGGTGCTGTATCTGAAGGGCTGACCGTTGTACATGATCGACGAAGCGAACAGTTCGGAGCCGGGCTGCATGCGAGGATACAGCAGAGTTCCGTTCACGCCATAGATTGGGGAGAGAACATTGCGGGCAGCCTTCGCCTGGGCACCGGTGATACAACTGGTCGTGCTAGAGGCACCTGGCTTGCAGATGATTGTTTCGAGAATAGGGTGGCAGAGATCGGTATCCTCGATGATGCCATCCTTTGCCCCGTCGATTCCGTCGCACTGTCGTACGATCTCATCATGGACGACCTTCCACGAAGCCGGCGAGAGGTATGTGTCCGATGTGTTTGATCCGGTGATCGAGTAGAAGTGGATGCTCCACGAGATCAGGTTGACGAAATTGAAGGCTGGAGCACCTGCCACAACACCGTCGAAGTCATTGGGGTACTTCTGGATCGACTTGAAGCCTTGTCTACCACCGGTGGAGCATCCCAGGTAGTAGGACTTGTCAAAGCCTTCGTTATAGAACATCTTGGTGAGCTGTTTACCAACTACGACACCGGTGTGAATTGAGCGGTACGCGAAGTCTTCGATGACTTCAGGATGCTGGTAGAATGGCTCGCCAGATGTTCCGTTATGGCCGTTGTTGGCGCCGACTGTTGCGAAGCCTAAGCCGGCAGTATAGGCAAGATCATAGTATTGGATGCCTATAAGAATATCAGCCACAACGGCGCTCTACCTCCAGAAGAGAATTAGAAGAAGCCATACAGCCAGAAAGACCTCCATTGCCAGTGCTCAGAAAGCGGCCAGTATAATTCCGCGGAAACCATGCTTCCAAGGTGATCTGGCTGCTGTTCGATGTATCAACGGCCATGGCAACCCGACACATATCCGCTGACACAATCTGGGAGGATGCACCACAGGTGACAGGGTTGTCGGACAGGGTGAGGTTGGTCCCTCCAGGGACATATTCAACGAAGTTCACGTGGACATTAGGGAGCTTGATCCTGTGTCCAAAACTAGCACATTTGGCCTGAAAAGCATCCTGTTTTGCCAGAACTGCAGAGGCGAATGTGAGAAGAGGCAGTAGAGAGAGCTTGGTCATGTTGATTAAGCCAGCTCACCAGAGGTCTGGCTCTATGAAGTTGCTCTCAGCAGAAAGTTCCAGGGTTTCTTTGATTTTCGCCGGAGACCTGCCCCTTTTTATACTACACATCCCCAGGTATCTGCCCTCATGGTAACAATAACCCCACGGGGTAATTCATTAAGTGGAGCATCTTCATCAAGTTGCAGGGCCAACCCTTGCACAACTCCCAAGGCTGTGCCAATGAAAGAAGGACTAGACAACGAGTATTTCCCGATCATCAATGCCGTCCCAAAGCATGCTGGAATATCAGGCAGGTTCTGGCGCTTTGGATTATGCAGCGGTCCAGCAGCGAGTGGGACTTTCCCACATGGAGACGGGAAATCCAGTCCGTCGTGTCATGTCTTCGACCAGCTGTGGATCTCCGGGCATTTTCCTCATGCGCCAATTCTGGGGGTCTCCAAATCTTCTTCCCCATACATGTGGAGAAACGCCGAAGGTCAACGTTGCTCGGCAAGTGCCGATGCCGATAAATACAGTCCGAGACGGGGATGTCGGAGCTTGGTACTGATTGTAGATGCATGAACTTGGAAGACGTCCAGGTTTGGGGCTGTTGAGAGCAGTCATGGGAAGTCCGAATTTTCAGTTCACATCTACGTCCTTAAAAAGCCGATGATCCTCGTACTGGAAGTGGCATTATCCTTAGGCATTCTATGAAATTGTTGTTCAGTGTAAGTTGTCGAGGATTTTCAAGTGTCCTCACATGTCGCGGGTTGCGGAAATACAGCACAGATACGCGCTATTTCCGATTGTTACCAGACTAGGGTTACGGATCCAAATTGCCGCGGTACATATTCTTCAACCCCTGGAAGAGCAACTGGAGCGTTGACTCTTCTGAGTCCTTGGTGTTTGGACTCCGCCCAGTAGTTAATGAGAAAATCCTCGAGTGATCTGACTTGCTCTGAGCGGATGAAGTTTACAAATTGGGAAAATCGGGATAGCCCATTCAGACCTATAATTAGTTGGTGATACACCAGGAATCAATGTGGCTTTTGTTGGAATCTCGTCAACTCTTCATCCTTCATCCTTCGTTGACCTAATTATCACTTAACTATCAGCGCCCGTTCCCTCCAGCCTCAAGAATATTTTGGTATAATGACGGAAATGATAAACCATGGAACTCCCCATTTCATATGCTCCAGCCCGTTCCCCAGTAAGAAAATCGAAATGACGACATAGATATATGAACTAAATAATGCAAGTAGCGAAGAATACGAGAAGGTCGTTGAGAACGAAAGCTAAAACAGAACGCCGTGGTAGAATCTCGTCACCGTAAGGTGGACTGGAGATGCGTCATTCAGGACATGATCAAACCCAAGCCTATGGGGAGGTATACTCACCGGCACCGATCAAAAGAGCTGCCAGAGCTAATCTTGGATTGTGTGCGCCTATAAAACTGAGAAGAAGACCACACACTGTCCATGCAGAGTATGGTCCAATAATATTCCCTAAGATTGGGGAATCTCGATATCTGGTCGTCGTCTCGTCAATCATCGCTTGTAAGTTCGCAACAGTCGCAGTCGCCTTGTCAAGAAGAGCTTGTGAAATTTGAAAGTTGGTTTCCATATGTTGCTGTAATCTATATTGCGCTTTAAGTGCATCGAACTGTTGCAACTGAGCTGTGTGTAAGGCTTCAGCTTTGGATTGCGAGCTTTCAAGAGACGTCTCGAAGTTTCGCAGTCGCTTCAGGGATTAGCTCAGTCAGGAAACCATCTGAATGGCAAGCCACAAACCGCGGACAAGCTCAGCTCTTGTTGTAGAATGAGTCCTAGCCTCTCTGAGAGCCATGACTGGTGTTGTAAGCCTTGTCAGGTCGTCACATCCGGCCAAGGTTCACTTACTAGCGACGCGTCAAAAGTCTCGACATTCTGAGAGAGCCGGGCCACATCACCCTGCACAAGGGACTCGAGCCTGGATTGAAGTGAGAGCGCAAGTTCATTCTGTTTCTCGACATTCTGCTCATGAGCATGCACAGTTTGCGCTTCTCTGGTTAGTGCTTCATCGTAAACAGCTTGCAGCATTTGTCGCAGGTAGTTGACTTCATTGGTAGCATTTCGAATGTCCTGGACAATGTCAGTCGCATTTGTATAAGATCGCTAGACGCTTACCTTCTCGAAGCTTGTTGCATCTTCATGTACCCTTGCAAGGGCTGAGGTTGCAGTTGTAACTGCCGAATCGACGGCAGACTCGATACTTTCCATTAAGTTGCCCAGCAGAGCTCTGAAGCCAATCTCAGTTGCTTCCAGGTCCTGTGTCAGCTTCGCCTGCAGAGCTGCTGTCGCCTCCACGAAGGCTTGACGCTGGGAAGTTTCTGCAGATGCCATCTGAAGCGCCTCCTTGAGCCCATGGCTAAGCTTGATGGAGCTTTCGACTATTGAGCGATGAAGCTCAAGAAGCTCCTCCTTTTCGGTTTCAAGCCGCGTTGCTTGACATATTACCACAGCATTCTGTCTACTATTACTATACGATGTCCACCACTGTGGTCGAGATTCCAGTGACCTCAAGCATGATTCTAGAATCTCAGTTGGCATAGAGTCGGCAGTGGTGGTTGTGGTTTTATGACTGGAGGAAAAATCAAAGAATCCTTTCTTCCGCGGGGTTTCAAGAGTAACTGGAAGGCATGGAGGAGGAATTGATGCCCCTGCTCCGTCCAGTTCACATACTGCAAGTCGTGCCGCGTACAGAGAGCGAACATGCTCCAATGCTAGATATGTGCTTGGTTCTGTATGACTTGTCGTCCCCCCAATCGATCGACAAGATGCGACGAGCCTTGAAGCTGCAATCCGGTTGCAAGAAGGTGACGACTTCATAGCTTCAAGTAGTTGCACCGCTTCGGTAAAGATAGCATCATGCTGCTGCGTTTTTGACTGTAGGAAGGATACCAGATCAATCTCTGCAGATGCGTTATGAGCAGGTACTGACATCCCCAACTTCATTGTTAATGATGCACTGATAATTCCGTCGAGAACATACCGGTCATCAACTTCCCTGCGAGAACAGGACTTGATATCAGCAGGAGAAAGAGCAGCATGCTGGCGAGCAAGAACGTAGGCAAATGAGTTCTTGACATCTGGCTCGAGAATTCAGTCTTTACCGCAGACAAAGCTGTGAGTAGGGGAGAATCGATAGAGACCCTCGGTAGCAATGATACTGAGATTAGACACTAGAAAGACGCGAGCAATGGAGAATGCTGTGATTGATAGTCAAGAGCAGACAGCAGAATACAAAGATGAACAGGTTAAGTCTCCCATCAGACTGAAGCTGGGATAGAGTAGTCTGAGATGAAGCTCAATGAAGCAACAGCAAGGAGCAAAGTGAAAGAGACAGACATTACACTATCAAGCGCAAACACAAAGATACGTTACATAAATCGGCCAGGCATGTCACCAGCGAGCTCTGACAATATGCGGAAAATCAATTATAAACAACATACAGAGTCCTGGGATGTTTTGATCTCGATCTATGAGAATGGTGATTGAGTCACGTGAGGAGCGACTAACCCAATTTGGAAAATATGCCTTCGGACAAAATCAGTTGAGATCCGGACTTCCAACCGCTATCTCGAACAGTCGAAACACAATTATCGTCGCCATGTCGAATCTTCTACCCCAGAGCTGCTTGAGGCAGCTTACACGAAATCCTCTTCGGCAGACCAGTCTACCTATCTTCCTGGCACCTGCATACTCCCACCTGCTGCGGACACAATGTTTTTCAACCACTTCCCCGACACAATCGCGAGTAGGCGGCGCTCCGATCTCGATACCACCAGAGGTTTCTTTAAAGTTTGTCGACCTGCCTCAGACTCAGGTGCGAGGCCGGTCAAAGGAGATTCCTAAGATTGCAATTGAGGTCAAGGGTCCTCTGGGTAAGCGACGGTGTTGCATCCTTGAGTGCCTCGGGAACGGAATCTGACATACGGTTTGCGCATAGGTGAATTGACGTTGAACATCCCTCCCTTTGTTGAGGTCGCACACGATGAAGCACTCCGGAAGGCCAGTTTGACTGTTCAAGACCCCTCGATTTCCCATCAACGTGCCATGTGGGGTATGTAAACGACTCTTAAGTTTCCCATACGACGGAACACGCCTAACTTTTGCGGCTTATAGGAACTATGCGGGCCCATCTGCAGAACTACGTACTTGGAGTATCAGAAGGGCATATTTGCATTTTGAGTCTGGTCGGTGTCGGTTACAGAGCAAGCATCGAGTCCACAGCGACTACAGTGGAACCTGAATACCCAGGCCAACAATTCGTCTCTCTCAAGGTTGGATATTCTCATCCTATCGAGCTTGGTGTCCCGAAGGGAGTCAAGGCCAGCACACCGCAGCCTACTCGTATTCTGCTTGAGGGCGTTGACAAGAGTGTTGTGACACAATTCGCGGCGGAGATCAGAGAATGGCGCAAGCCAGAGCCTTACAAGGGCAAGGGTATTTTTGTGAATGGAGAAACAATCAGACTGAAGGCCAAGAAGATTCGGTGAGCTGGGGTGGTTTGTATTTTACTTTGGCATTTTCTTGGAACCGGGTCTGGGCTTTTTCTGTACATGTATATTCAAGCAGAGTCTTCCTGTTTTCCCAATTGTTATCTATCCCATGTACTTTTAGGCGCATCGAGCGTGCAGGGTCTAACAAAGATTTAGAACGCGCTTAGTGATTCGATTCAATTGTTGATAGCATTTGCATCATCTTTTATAGCTTCAGGACCGTCTTGACGGCACTAATGACCTGGTCCTGAATGGCCTTAGGAGCGGCGACGACTCCCTTGTTGGCAGCCAAAGTCCGGCCCTTGCTGAAATCCAACCGCTGGCCATAGATGTCGGTCACTTGCCCACCAGCCTCGCGGACAATAAGATCGCCAGCAGCATGATCCCAGATCTTCTCTTGGTAGTCCTTTTTGACAGGTAGCCGTAGGTAGATATCACCTGCGCCTCTAGCAATTGAGCAATACTTGGCCTGCGAGTCAAGTCGCACGCTGGGGGAAGTGATACCAAGAAGCTGAGCGACGGCGGCGTTGTCGCCTTGAGCGGAGTGAGCAGCTTCCACTCCTTCACAGAAAACGGCTTGTTTGATATCGGGTACGGGACGCATCGAGATCGGCTTACTCTCGGCAAGAGCACCATTCGATAGGGGTCGGCTAATGGCTCCCTCGCCTTTGATGGCCGAGAAAAGAACTCCCATGCCGGTGCCATCAGTCTGGTCGACGCCGATACTGGCAGTCATGGCAACCGAATCATCCACGGGCAAGTTGGGGCAACCAATAGCACCGACCTTCACGTCTCCGTCCTCAATCAAACCAAGACAGACAGCATACTGGCCGCCCCGGAGAAATCCCTTTGTGCCATCGATGGGATCCAGAGCCCAGATACGACCCTTGGGACCTCCTGCGCTCTTGCCTTGGTCGATGATGTCCAGCATCGCATCTTCGCTTGGCAAGAGACCACCCAAAAGTTCATTGCTCTCATTGTCTTCCAATTTGATGTCCTTGACGAGTCTCCAGATCTCTGCACTCAACGTCTTGTCCTCCCGAAGGGAGCTAGCCTCCTCTTCGGCGACGATCTCATCGTTGGGGAAGTTCTTGCGGAGGGCTTGGATGATTAGAGCTTGAGCGCCGAAGTCGCCAATGGTGACGGGCGATTTGTCGTCTTTCGAAACCGTGCCCTTAGCCTTCTCGTGGAAAACTTTCTGTGTCAGAAGTGTTGCTCGCTGAACAGCCAGTTCGGCAATGTAGCGCTCTTGTTGGTAGGACATGTTGGCAGTTTGGGTATAATGGGTTGAAAAGGGCAAGGCGGGGAGGGAGGTAAATATGCGCGGGCGGGTTTTAAAGACGATACTGACTCCGAGCAGAAGAGTGGAGCAGAGGATAAGACGGGAGAAGATTGAGAAGGACGACTGGCGAACTGAGGAGCGATCAGCCGCATTTATAGACCGAGGACCCATTAGGAAAGTGAAGAAGGCATACGTAAGATGCTGCTCAGCAGCAATTGTCAGTGCTTTGGTAATACACCTTATTCCAGATCGCCCTCAGTCATCAATCCCCTGCAGCGATAGTCATCATCTATATAAAATAATTTACTCCTGACTGTTTCCATAAGCGTAATCGGACGTTCATTCGGAAAACCCCAGGCATCCAGGCATCCAATTCCCACCTCTCTCCCCGCCCTAAGCTCCTTTGGGGGTGCGGGAGAGGGGCAATCACGAGATTGGCCCATAATCGGGGAAGGAGGATGTAGGGGTATCGCTATCTACACAGTTGGACGACAGAGAAGATGTCTACCTAATTGTAGATAGTCATATACGCCACCCTTTCAAATCTCCGCTGCATTGTTCATCAGTGGCGCGAAAGGCCTAGCATTCAGGGTGCTGCGCAAATTCAGCCTCCTTTTACTTGGAAGTCGACCGTGCTCGTGTGTTGGGCTTTTAGCACTGCCGCCAGGGCACACGACGGCCTTCGGTCGGATCGACAGGCCCAACACGTCACCGTCTGGCTATTGCTGTGCCTAACTTCATAATCGTGCCGAGACGCTGATTTAGGAGCTATACACGACGTTACAGGGAACGAGCTCTAATTCCTCGACTACTGATCTCTGGGTCTCACGAGGGCCGAGCTTGTCAAAAGAGGAGTTACACTTGAGTTCGCTTGGGAAATCATTGCGCTTTGACTGCTTTGACACTTAATTACCCAAATAAGACCTTTGAATGACAACGTCATGTTCCACTCAGCGGTAAGTGAGCATCGATTATTAACATAGGAGTTGTCGCAGAATTCTTGATTCTTCATACCTAAGTCATCAGAATCTGTCCAGGGGATTTGCATACCAAGTTCTTTGTAATTGATCTTATGGAAAGCCGTGCAGAACTGACGATACTTCGCGCAGAAACCATACTCGGCTGTGACCGTTCAGATTGAAGTGCTCACCAGTGAGCAATACGAGATTGAAGATTCGAGTGGAATTGTCGACCTCATCGAAGCGATTCGCATTCAGAGCAGCGGACCGACTGAAGCAAGTCGTGCGTTGCGTAAGAAACTGTCAGTCCAGCTATCTATCTCTCTCTCTCATCTCAGTCCTACTTATCTAATGTTTCTTCAGTAAATATGGCAATCTGCATCGCCAGTTGAGAGCTCTTACTATTCTTGACTTTTTGATACAGAATGCTGGAGATCGATTCTTGCGAGAGTTCGCAGATGAACCACTCTTGGAACGTCTACGAATCGCAGCCACCGATCCAGTATCTGATCCCTTGGTCAAACAGAAGTGCAAGCAACTTTTTGGGCAATGGGCAGTATCCTACAAGGACACACCGGGGATGGGAGGAGTGACAGCACTTTACCGGCAGCTTCCAAAGCGAAAACAGCCTGCCACCCAGGCCAAGGCGAAAGTTCTCCGGGATACTGGTAATTCGACTACCACTGAGCCACAACTGGGCCATACTGTCTCAATTTCCGTAGGAAACGGCCCAAGCACTGTCTTAAGCAGTCCCAAGCACAAACATACATCGAGCAAATCTTCT